CATCTGCACATCAAAGAGTAGGGCGGGCTAAGCCGGGAAGCCAGCCCCCGGTGATGGGGCGCTGTCCCTCCACCGGCTGGGAGGCTCCCTGGGCCTTCCCAGATTAAGCTCCACCAGCTCCTTTGGGCCAGCCCTTCCTGTCGCCAGTGCCCAGCGGCCGTGGCTGGCACTTGACCTTCTGCGGACCATCTGTGGGAGGGGCCAGCCTTACCATCCAGAGTTCCTAATGGGCTCCAGGCTCCCTGGATGAGAGAGCTGGCCTGCCAGGGAGAAGCGTTTATGCAATTATTTAATTTAGTTCTCAATGGTACCGTGAGATAAGGAACAGATTTATCTCAGCTTTACAGATAAGGAAAGTGCAGGGTAAGGAGAGTAAGTCACATCTCAGGAGAACTGAACTGGAATCAGCTGTCTGGTTTACTGCCTGCACAGAAGTGGCAGCGGGTCTCCATCTGGAGCTGGGGTGGGGTCTGTGAGGTCTATACTGCCATGCTTGTGCCGTTACTGGAAAGGGGTCTCGATCCAGACCCCAAGAGAGAGATCTTGGACCTCATACCAGAAAGAATTAGGGGCGCTGGGCACAGTGGCTGACACCTGTAACCCCCAGCACTTTGGAAGTCCAAGGCAGGTGGATCACGAAGCCAGGAGTTCAAGACTCAGCCTGGCCAAGGTGGTGAAACCCCATCTCTACTAAAAATACAGAATTTAGCTGGGTGTGATGGCAGGTGCCTGTAATCCCAACTATTTGGGAGACTGAGGCAGAGAATTGCTTGAACCTGGGAGGCGGAGGTTGCAGTGAGCTGAGATCTCACTGCTGCAATCCAGCCTGGGTGACAGAGCGAGACTCCATCTCAAAAAAAAAAGAAAAGAATTTGGGGCCAGTCCTTAAACTGAAAACAAGTTTATTAAGACAGGAAAAGAACAACGGTGACTCCGCAGGCAGAGCGGCGGCCTGGGCTGCTCACCTGAGTCCGTTTACAGTTACTTCCTGATTTCATGCTGAACAATGGGTGAATTATTGTTTTTGTTTTGAGACAGTCTCACTCTGTCGCCAGGCTGGAGTGCAGTGGCAAGATCTCGGCTCACTGCAACCTCTGCCTCCTGGGTTCAAGGGATTCTTCTGCTTCAGCCTCCCAAGTAGCTGGGACTACAGGTGTGCGCCACCTCACCTGACTAATTTTTGTATTTTTAGTAGAGACAGGGTTTCACCATGTTGACCAGGATGGTATTGATCTCCTGACCTCGTGATCCACCTGCCTCGGCCTCCCAAAGTGCTGGGATTACAGGTGTCAGCCACCCATGCCCAGCCTATTCATGAGTCTTTTGAGAAAGAAGGGGGATTTCCCAGAACTGAGGGTTTCTCCCCTTTTTAGGCCATATAGGGTAACTTCCGGATGCTGTCATGGCATTTGTGAACTGTTATGCACTAGTGGCAGTGTCTTTTAGCAGCGGATGTACTATAATCCACGCATAATGAACAGTGAGAAGGACCTGAGGTCATTTTGTCACCATCTGGGTTTTGGCCAGCTTCTTTTATTGCATCCCGTTTTATCAGCAATGTCTTTGTGACCTACGTCTTGTGCCAACCTTCTATTTCATCCTGTGACTAAGAATGCCTAACCCCTTGGGAATGCAGCCCAGCAGGTCGCAGCCTCAGTTTACCCAGCCCTTATTCAAGATGGAGTCGCTCTGGTTTGAACGCCTCTGGTGGTGCCACTGCCATGGCAGTGTATGATGTTGGCCCTCACCAGGCTCTGTGGCTGACCCTGGGATGCAGTGAGGGTACATGGAGCCAGAGGAATGCCTGCAGAGTCATGGGCAAGGTCCAAGAGCAGGAACCAGCTAGAACGCTGGTGGGTGATTCCCTGCCCAGCGCTCTTGTCTGCCAGAGAGATGACCCCTCAGCACTCAGACCCAGCAGCAATGGAAGGTGCTGAGCCTCTGCAAGCATCAGCCCTGGGGGTTCCTTTACCCAGCCTTTCGAGACAGGTATCAGCATGGCTGAGGCAATCTTGTATTGGATTTTTCCTTTTTTTGTGTGTGTGAGACAGTGTCTTGCTCTGTCACTCCGGTTTGCAGTGACATGATCTTGGCTCACTGTAACCTCCACCTCCTAGGCTCAAGCAATTCTTCTGCCTCAGCCTCTTGAGTAGCTGGGATTACAGGTTCTCGCCACCACGCCAGGCTAATTTTTTGTATATTTAGTAGAGACAGGATTTCACCATATTGCCCTGGCTGGTCTTAAACTCCTGACCTCAAGGGATCCACCCACCTTGGCCTCCCAAAGTGCTGGGATTACAGGCGTGAGCCTCTGTGCCTAGTCTCAGTACTCATTTTATCGAGCACTTACTACGTGCCAAGTATTAAAACCCTGAGAGGTAGGGTCTATATTGTCTCCACAGTTGAAGGAACTGAAGCTCAGGGAGGTTTCAAAGCTTGCCTGTTGGTCTCACTTGGTTACACGGCAAGTAACTGCTGAGTGGAATGCTCAACTTGGGCCCCGACGCTGTCTCTGCTCTAAGCTTGCCTGGACTTTCTCATCCTTCCAGCTGCCGCTAGGGCCAGCAGGACCCTAAGGATGGAGGAACCACAGCACTTCTAGAAGGTTAGAGGAGGAAGGTACCTCAGCGACCACCCAAGCTAGTTCCTCCTTTAGGAACTGCAAAATCTGAAGCTCAGAGAGAGCGACTTGCCTGATGGACAAAAAACAGACCAAACCAAATTTCTGTTGTATGTGTGTTTTTTCTTTTTAAGTACAAAAAAATCACAGCATATAGGGCTCAGGCCAACCATCACCAAGAAGCAGAGCATGGGTCATGCCTCCCACACCCATTCTCCCACCTGTCCCAGCCTGGCTGCCTTCGGGGTAAAGGAGACCCCTTTTTAGCGCAGCTCAGCCTGTGCTCTGCAGAGTACCAGGCATTTTGGGAGTGTCTAGCCATGGAAGACACTGCCCCCACCCTGACTCCATCCAGGGAAGATGCCCACTATCTATTTCAAACACTGCTTCCCTGAAAGACATCACTTGAAAAAAGGGAGGCTTGGCTAAAGGAAAGCATGAAAAGCCACTGAAGTAGGAAACGAGGAGGGAGCCACACTACAGCCCTGATTCCTGGATGGAAAGAGGGAAGCTGAGGCCATTTAGTAGAAGATGCTGACGCGGGCCCCCTCCAGATCTTCTTGCCAAAGTTCAGGGCAGCCACTGAACCGCAGGGCTGAGCTCTGGGGAGGGCTTGCTTCACTGAGCTGGAAGGCGGCACCCTGTCCCTGGTCCTCTGAGGTGGGCAGCACCTCTGTACTGTGGCTCCAGCACCCCCAGGGGGTCTGAGGCTGCAGTCTCTGGCAGGATGGGTGGGGCAGGAGAGATGGAGTTCCCAGGGACAGACAGGACTCTGGAGACACAGAGAGACCCTGCAAGAGGGACAAGAGCAGTTGGTTAGGTGGCCAGTCCCTGATGTCCAGAGACCTTGAACCCGGCTGCTTGCCACGGTGTGGCTGGAAGCGCCTGGACAGCCCTGCCGTGGATGTAGCAAAGCCAAGTGGTTAAGAGCACTGGCTGGGGAGATGCTCTGCTAAGGCTGAAGTCCCAGCTCTGAGACTTAATAGCAATGAGAACGCAGGTAACCTTTTTTAGTGTTTTCTCACCTGTAAAATAGGGATGCCGATGATAATACTTGCTTCCTAAGGTCATTACTGGGGCTGAATAATACATGTAAGGTATGTATTATTCAAGAATGATGACAGGCTCGTAGAAAGTGTTCAACAAATTTTGGTTAGTTTGATTTTTATGGACCATGTGTCATGCATGAGCCTTATGAATGAATGGAGCTTGAGGAAAACTGAAATCACCAGCTCTAGGCCCATCTACTCAGGAAGTGCTGCCCTTACCCGGGGCTTCCTTCCTCCACTGCACCCTTAATAGCACTTGAGGCGATTTTCCTGTCAGCATGCCCATCCTTCCGGATTCCCCTTTTTCCCATAGCTGTGAAGACTACTTGTGGTGACAGTGCTGTGGCCTGAACTTCCCAGGGTCCCACCTCTTCTCCCAAGGAGCCGGGTGGGGGGCGGGGTTCCTTCCATTCTCCCTCCGTTAGATAATCACGGGGTAAAGCTGGGATCTAAAAAGAATGAGATTCTCTGCAGCCTGGAGGCTGGGGAGCACAGCGAGGTCCACACACATACCTGGTACACTGTGGCCAGCTCCAGGGTTGCTGGGGGCGTTGTCCAGGGCGCTGGCGGGTTCCGGGGCTCTGGGGACGGCTGAGTCCAGGGACAGTTTTGGGGTGGCGTCCAAAGAGAAGCGTCGGAGGTTGTCCCTTGGGACGAATACGGGGGCGACTGTATCTTGGGGCAGTAAGGGGGTGTCGCCCAGGGATCCGCGTCGTGGACCCCGCTCCCCAGGCGTTCGGGCGCCGCTCGGGCTCCGGGGCAGGCGGGCGAGGACCCCCAGGACGCCCAGGAGCGGATGACCCGCCCGCGCCCCTGCCCCTGCCCCTGCCCCTGCCCCAGCCCCAGCCCCAGCTCCAACCCCTCCCTCTGCGTCTGCGTCTGCGCTTGCGCGGGGCCGCCGTCTGGGCACAGCGGGCAACCCCGAGAGGACCCCGCTTCCCCGCGCTGCAGGCGCCGGCGCTGCAGACTCTCCTCGCTGAGGCCCAGCACGGCCGACAAGTGGCCGATGTAGCGGATGGCCAGGCGCAGCGTCTCGATCTTGGTCAGACTCTGGCCGGCGGGCACCACGGACGGCGGCAGGAAACGGCGCAGCTCTTGCAGGGCGCGGGCCAGCGTGCGCATGCGCAGTTTCTCCCGCTCGCTAGCGCTCTGCCGCTGTCCGCCCGCCGGCCCCGAGCGCGCTCGTCGGGGCGTCGTCGGGGCAGCCTCTGCGGCTTGGGAGCCGCGGTCTAGTACCGCGGGCTGCGGGAGGCCACGGGCGCCGTCGCAGGGGCACGAACCCGACGAATCCGAGGAGGAGGCTGGGGACGTGGAGTCTGAGTGGCCGGCCCAGCCCCAGCCCTGGGCGAAGATCCAGTGGTCGCGGCTGAGGAGGCTCTGCGGAGGAGGCGTCTGGGCCATGGCGGGGCCACGGGCTCTGGGAGGCTGGGCCGCCCACCTCCAGGCCTGAGCTTTTATCTTGAGCAAAGGTGCGAGGTGGCCCCCCACCAGGTTACAGAGAGGTGTCAAAACCCACAGAGCCCAGGGAAGGTCTGGGCAGGGGGGCCCTGGGAAAACGGGCCCATTTGCGGAGGTGTGGATTCTCACTCCTCGGGGGCTCTAATGGAGGCCCCGGCAGCCCGGGAAGTATGGGAAGGACAATTCGCATCTGGATGGAGCTGCTAAGCTTCTCACCACGCTCCCACCACGCCCCCGCCCCGTCCACTGCGCAGGGTGAGTGCCCGGGAGCCCACAGTGGCGGGCAGTGCCATGGTCTGTGGGGGCCCCTCACCAGCGTCCCGGAGGTCTGTGCCCAGGAATGCCAACGCCTCGGTGCCTACTGTTGTATTAGAGAAGTCACCAGGATGAGCCTGGAGGGCCCTCCTCATAATGGCTGAGACAGAAGTGCAGGGGAACCCTTCTGGGGTCCCCAGAACCCACAGTTTCTGCTGTTACTGTGCATGGTCTGTTTCTACTCTTTTTTTTTTTTTTTTTTGAGACGGAGTTTCCCTCTTGTTACCCAGGCTGGAGTGCAATGGCGCCATCTCGGCTCACCGCAACCTCCGCCTCCCGGGTTCAGACAATTCTCCTGCCTCAGCCTCCTGAGTAGCTGGGATTACAGGCACACACTACCATGCCCAGCTAATTTTTTGTAGAGACGGGGTTTCACCATGTTGACCAGGTTGGTCTCGATCTCTTGACCTCGTGATCCCCCTGCCTCGGCCTCCCAAAGTGCTGGGATTACAGGAGTGAGCCACCTCGACCGGCCTGTTTCTACTCTTGAGAAATGGAATAGAGCAGCCGGCGGAAGAGGAGTTGGGGACTGTAGGTGATGACAGTCGGCAAAGGTGGGCCCCCAAGGCGGCCTCTTTATTGGCTGTGACCTTGGTTATTTAGCTCCTCTGAGCCTCCGATTGCGTCATCGGTACCAATAGTGATACAAGATACCTATGCCTAGGATGGCTGCCAGACTAAGTACAACAATCCTTGTAAAGGACTTAAGGCCTGGCAAGAGAGCTGAAGGTTTGCCATGGTCATTTTATAAAGAAGGTACTGGCCGGGCACGGTGGCTCATGCCTGTAATCCCAGCACTTCGGGAGGCTGAGGCGGGCAGATCGCGAGGTCAGGAGTTCGAGACCAGCCGGGCCAACGTGGTGAAACCTCATCTCTACTAAAAAGACAAAAAACAGCCGGGTATCGCGTGGCAGGTGCCTGTAATTCCAGCTACTCAGGAGGCTGAGGCAGGAGAATCGCTTGAACCTGGGAGGTGGAGGTTGCAGTGAGCCGAGGTTGTGCCACTGCACTCCAGCCTGGGTGACAGAGAGACTCTTATCTCCAAAAAAAAAAAAAAAAGAGAACTTATATTTCTTTCTTTTTTTTAGAGAGAGAGAAACAGGAGGAGAGAGAAAGAAACAGCTAACTCTCACACTGAGTGAGAGAATCCAGAAAGATGGAATGCAGGAGAGGAAAGTAGCTTCCACACTGAGTGGGAAGGAATAGAGAGAGATGGAGTTTAGGAGGGGAATACAGGTTTCCACGAAGGGAGTGTTCGTGGAAGGGGATCCAAACATGGAGTCCCCAAAAGTACTTATATTTCAAGGCAATAATGGGCATTATTCATTTAAATTCTTATTTATTTCTTTATTTATTTTTTGAAACAGACTTGCTTTGTCACCATCTCAGCTCACTGGAACCTCCGCCTCTCAGGTTCAAGCAATTCTCCTGCCTCAGCCTCCTGAGTAGCTGGGACTACCGGTGTGAACCATCGCATCCAGCTAATTTTTGTATTTTTGATAGAGACAAGTTTTAGCCACGTTGGCCAGGCTGGTCTCGAACTCTTGACCTCCAGTGATCCACCTGCCTCGGCCTTCCAAAGTGCTGGGATTACAGGCATGAGCCACTGCGCCCAGCTGAGTTCATATTTATTTAGCAACCAGCAAATGTTGGGCACACAGGGTGAATGAGCTAGTCGTGGTCTCTGCTCTCATGAGATTTCAGTCTTGTGAGAAAGAAAAGTGAACAGGGCATTGTCTAACAGTAGCTGTGTGCCCATAGGCAGGGCCCTTAACCTGTTTGAGCTTGAGCTTCTGCTCAGTAAAACAGGAATAATAAGGATAATATCCACATTATTGTGAGGGATAGTTGAGATAGTAAAATGTATAAAGTAAATGGTCTTAGCAACAATTACAGTTTAAAGGAGATTGTCAGTGTCCTGTGTGATGTTGGGGAAAGGGCTGAGTCCTGAGGCTTAGAGCCAAAAGAAGACCAGGGACCTTAGGGCTCTGGCCACAGAGATGGAGAGGTTACAGCTGGACCTTGAACCATGCATAGGATTTGAGTAGGGAGAGAGGCAGGTGTAGTGCATTCTGGATGGGAACTACTTAAGCAAAGACCTGGCCTCGGGACCTTCCAAGATGCTTCAGGAGCAGGGCACTGGAGTGGTGATGTGGAAGGCCAGAGCAGACCTGGTCTGGGGCCCAGGTGTTGGTTTTATTCCCAAAGCAGTGGGGAGCCATAGAGACTTTTGAGCATTCCACTCTGATTTTAAAAATCAGTAGGGGCGGGGCGTGGTGGCTCAGGCCTCCCAGCACTTTGGGAGGCTGAGGCGGGTGGATCACAAGGTCAAGAGATCAAGACCATCCTGGCCAACATGGTGAAATCCTGTCTCTACTAAAAATAAAAAAATTAGCCGGGTGTTTGGCACGCACCTGTAGCCCTAGCTACTTGGGAGTCGAGACTGCACAACTGTGTTCCAGCCGCAACAGAGCCAGACTCCGTCTGGAAAAAAAAAAAAATCAGTAGCCAATAACTAAAGATCAACAGGACAGTGGTGTTCAAGATGAGATGAACCTGCAGCAGCCTGAAGTAGCAAATGGCCTTGTAATTATTCAATTATAATTAGTAATTTTTTTGTAGAGATGGATTTTACCCAGGCTGCTCTTGAACTCCTGGGCTCAAGTGATCTGCCCTCCTTGGCCTCCCAGAGTGCTGGGATTACATGCATGAGCCACCAGGCCCGGCTGCCTTGTTATATTTTTGTGGCTGATTTTATGTTAATTTATTATTTATCTTAGTTTTGAGACAGGGTCTGTCACCCAGGTTGTGGCACAATGTCAGCTCACTGCAACCTCTGCCTCCCAGGCTCCAGGAATCCTCCTGCTTCAGCCACCTGAGTAGTTGGGACCACAGGTGCACACCACCCTGCCTGGCTAACTTTTGTATTTTTAATAGAGATGGGGTTTTGCCATGTTGGTCAGGCTGGTCTCAAACTCCTGGCCTCAGATGATCTGCCTGCCTCAGCCTCCTAAAGTGATAGCATTACAGGTGTGATCCTGGTCTTTTTTTCTTTTAATTTTAGAGACAGGGTCTCTGTTGCCTAGGCTGGAGTGCAGATCATAGCTCACTGTAACCTAAAACTGTGTTGACGTTACCTCCTGTCTCAGCCTCTCAAGTAGCTGGAACTATGCATACCACTATCACGGGCTAATCTTTTGTTTTTTTTTTTTTTTTGAGAGAGGGCGTGGCTGTTTTCAAAAATTAACTTTTAATTAAACTCTGTGACCACTACATTTAAATTCGAGGAAAGGAAACATTACAGATAAAGTTGGAATCTGTTTAACCAACCCGGTAAACCCCCAAAAGGTAATAGCTGTTGTTAGGTTGTGTGTGTAGTTCCAGACCTGGCCAGTGGGTTAACAGAAACGTGTATCCTTGGCAAACACATGGTACCCCTCAGGTTATATCATGTACATTGTATGTGTAAGTGTCAGCTTGTAATTTGTTTTTCTTCTTTTTCTTTCATGTTTCATTCAGCAGCACGTTTGTTTCATTCAGAGCATTCCATGTCAGGACATATTTTGCTGACTCACCCTTTAGAAAAATAATGGATCAAATTTTTGGTGCTGATAATCTCAGCACTTTGGAAGGCTGATGTGGGAGGATTGCTTGAGCCCAGGAGTTCAAGACCAGCCTGGGCAACATAGTCAGACCTGGTATGTAAATAAATAAATAAGCCAGGCATGGTGGTGTGCACCTGTAGTCCCAGCTACTTGGGAGGCTGAGGCAGAAGTATTCAGGGGATATAAACAGGAGTTTGAGGTTGCAGTGAGCTATGATCACACCACTGTGCTCCAGCCTGGCCACAGCAACACCCTGTCTCAAAAAAAAAAAAAACTGCTTGTGAATATAGATTGAAACTATAGATTATGTGCAGAACAAAACCTTGGTTATAGTTGATTTAAATGTTTATTCATTTAATTTTTTTTGTCTTTCGAGACGGAGTTGCACTCTTGTCACCCAGGCTGGAGTGCAGTGGCATGATCTTGGTTCACTGCATCCTCTGCCTCCAGGGTTCTAGTGAATCTCCTGCCTCAGCCTCTGGAGTAGCTGGGTTTACAGTGTCCGCCACCATGCCTGGCTAATTTTTTGTATTTTTAGTAGAAACGGGGTTTCGCCATGTTGGCCAGGGTGGTCTCAAACTCCTAACCTCAGGTGACCCTCCCACCTTGGCCTCCCAAAGTGCTGGGATTACAGGCATGAGGCACCATGCTGGGCCATTTTTTTTTTTTTTTTAAGCCGAGTTTTTACTCTGTCACCCAGGCTGGAGTGAAGTGGGGCAGTCACGGCTTACTGCAGCCTCCATCCCCGAGGCTCAGGTAATCTCCTATCTTAGCCTCTGGAGTAGCTGGGACTGCAGGCCTGCACCATCACGCTGGCTAAATTTTGTGTTAGTTGTAGAGACAGAGTTTCACCATGTTGCCTACGCAGGTCTCAAACTCCTGGGCTCAAGCAGTCCACCTGCCTCGTCCTCCCACAGTGCTGGGATTACAGGTGTGAGTCACTGTGCACAGCCCATGTAAATAATTTTAACTTTGGAAAAAAGGTAAAATGGCAGGAGGTACAGATAAACCTTCACTGATGAAATTATCTCACTTTTTCTCCTCAGAATGATTTGGAAATATATTGGAGAAAATATGCCTAAGTCACTGCTCTAACATTATGCTGGAGTAACACTTGGCACTGCATATCACTGGGTAAGCAACTATTGTTTATTCTAGCTGCTAGGAGTAAAGAAGAGAAAGTTTTAATTGGTCCACAACATGAAAAGAAGGTGGGAGAGATTACAAACAGGCTTTCTTTGGAAAGAAGTGGTTAGTTATGGAAACTTTCATGGCTTAAGAGTTTAAACCAAAATTAAGAAAACAAAAACAAAAACTATTTCTTAAGGGGAAATAAGGGACAACTTGTAAAACATTCATGCCTAGACTTTTTGTGTTGAAATAAAGGCACATGTAGTTTAGTACATCATTTATTGGTCCAAGGCCACACAACACCATAAAGCTCTTGACATACTGTCTGTCAGGGAACTTACATGCGTGCATTCAACGTTTGTAAACAAAATTCAAAGCCTTCAAAGACATGTCTTGATCTAGGTGCTGCATTTCAAATAGAGCAGGTGCTATTTCTCTTGTTGTTTCTTTCTCTTTTTTTTTTTTTTTTTGAGACAGTGTTTTGCTCTTGTTGCTCAGCCTGGAGTGCAATGGCGTGATCTCAGCTCACTGCAACCTCTGCCTCCCAGGTTCAAGCAATTCTCCTGCCTCAACATCCCAAGTAGCTGGATTACAGGTGCCTGCCACCATGCCCCACTAATTTTTTGTATTTTTGGTAGAGACTGGGTTTCACCATGTTGGCCAGGCTGGTCTTGAACTCTTGACCTCAGATGATCTGCTTGCCTCAACCTCCCATAGTGCTGGGATTATAGGTGTGAGCCACCATGCCTGGCCTCTATTGGTGTTTCTGACTCAAGCCTTTTTTTTTTTTTGAGACAGTTGCTCTGTTTCACCCAGGCTGGAGTGCAGTGGCATGATCTCAGCAGACTGTAACCTCCACCTTCCAGGTTCAAGTGATTCTTGTGTCTCAGTCTTCTGAGTAGCTGGAACTATAGGCATGTGCCACCACGCCCAGCTAATTTTTGTATTTTTAGTAGAGACAGGGTTTCACCATGTTGGCCAAGCTGGTCTTGAACTCCTGACCTCATGCAATCTGTCCGCCTTGGCCTCCCAGAGTGCCAGGATTACAGGTGTGACTCATGCCTTTTAACTGTTGTATAATATTCCATAGCATGCACAGCCACTTACTGATGCACCTTTACTGTATTTTTAGTTTTGGCCCAGCAGTACCACCTTGTGCATGAACAGCTAGATATGCATCAGTGGATGGCTTTGTGATCTCCAGAAAGCTTCTGAATATCTGGAATTATTTTCCCCCAGCCTCCTTAGAGCCAGCCTGAGGGATTTCTTGTGGAGGAATTTGGTGAGTAATGGGATTCCACCACAGACACAGAGCCCTGCGCGTGCTGTGTACATCCTTTCCTCTCGGAGATTGCCTGGTTTCCTTCTGCCTTAGTTTGAGCTAGCCTGGAGCAGAGGCCCTAGTCTGACTGTGGGATGTACAGTGTAAATTCTGGAAGGTGGGGCCCTGGGCCTGTTTGCTGTGGCCCCTGGCTCTTGCCTATGCTCTTCAGCCAGGATCTGGAAGCACAGGGGCTCTCTGTCTGCAATCCTCACCTTCCAGGAGGGAAACCCAAGTGCATCCCTGCACTGGGCCTCCACTTAGCACAGGAGGCAATGCAGCTTAGTGGTCAGGTGTCAGCTGCAGAGTAAGACAGGCTTGGTTTCTTTCTTTCTTTTTTTTTTTTTTTTTTTTTGAGATGGAGTTTTGCTCTTGTTGCCCAGGTTGGAGTGCAATGGTGCGATCTTGGCTCACCGCAACCTCCGCCTCTCAGGTTCGAGCAATTCTCCTGCCTCAGACTCCTCTGAGTAGCTGGGATTACAGGCATGCACCACCATGCCCAGCTAATTTTTGTAGTTTTTTAGTAGAGATGGGGTTTCACCATGTTGGCCAGGCTGGTCTCAAACTCCTGACCTTGTGATCCGCCCGCCTTGGCCTCCCAAAGTGCTGGGATTACAAGCATGAGCCACCGCGCCAGGCCTGACAGGCCTTGTTTCTTACCAGCTGGGAGAACTTGGGCAACTTAATCTGTTTTCCCATCTATAAGTGGGTGTTCTGATCTCCAGGGTAACAGAGGTAAACTAAGATAATGCATGTAATAGCATTTAGCATATGGCTTACAGCAAATTCAGGAATAGCAGAAGGAAATGATTAAAGGAATAGGTTGGATTGTGAGTGAGGGAAATGTATCTTCAGCCTCGGCCCCAGAAGAAGTAAGTGATTCCTTGCTTTTCTGAGAACCACTCCCACACCAGACCAAGGTATCCTGCCCTCCCCACTTCTTCATATCCAGCCTTTCTCTTCTATTGGGCCCTGGTAGGGGTGCCATCCAACTTGCCTGCAGCCCTGGGGCCCTTCAGCAGCCACTTCTGGATGAGTATGGGGGCAGGTGTTTACTCTGTGCTGGAACTGGCCCTCGGTGCTGAGCAAACAAGCCAGGCCTATTCTGCTCTGTAGCCCCTTCTCAGCATTTCTCCCCTTTGTTTGGCTTCCCTGTTAAAAAGAGGGCCTGTGGCTGTGTGCTATTGGGTAAGGTGATTACAGTCTGGGCCTCAGTGTGCTAGGAGTACCAGGTTCACCTTTTCCTTCCTGTGACAGGAATGGTGGCTAGATCAGGGAAACGTGGTCAGAAGAAGGTATGTAGATTCACGAGTGTGGCAGACACTGCTAGTTGCCCACACAGCCTTTACTTCCCTTTTTCTCTTAGTAATCTTGTGTTGTACATAGTGATACACCCTGCTAAAAAAAAAACCCTACATTTCCCAGCTTCTTCTATGTATGGCATGGCCAATGAGATGTTAGTGGAAGGAAGTCACTGGCTGGAGCTTCTGGTAGAACTCTTTAACACTGAAAAGTACACTGCTGTGGCTCTGCCCCCTTATCTGGAAAACATGATGGTTGGAGTTTCCACAAATCCATTGTGACTCTGAAGCAATCTCAAAGGCAGAAATCACACACTAAGGATGGTAGGGCAGAGAGAAACCTGTGGCATTGATATGGATGTGGACGTGCCACACTGACCATGGACTGTCCACCCCTGAATTTCTTTAACGTGAAAGAAAAACAAACCAGGTGCCATGGCTTGTTCTGTAATCCTAGCACTTTGGGAGGCCGAGGCAGGAGGATCGCTTGAGCCTGAGAGTTTAAGACCAGCTGGTGGAAAACAGGAAGACCTATGTCTCTACAAAAACAAAGAAATGAAAAAGCTGGGCATGGTGGCACATGCCTGTGGTCCCAGCTACTCAGGAGACTGAGACGGGAAGATTGCTTGAGCTCGAGAGGTTGAGGTTGCAATGAAATAAGATCATGCCACTACACTCCAGCCTGGGTGACAGAGTAAGACGCTGTCTTAAAAAAAAAAAAAAAAAAGGAAAAAGAAAAAGAAATCAGCATCTTGTTTAGGTCAGTGTTGTTTTAAGAGGTACAATGAGCAGCCAACATGGTTCCTGTCCACATAATAGGGAGGTTCCCAGGGTTTCCTCACCTGCAAGTGGGGCCATGTGAGCTGGATGACATTTCATTTAAGTGAATCACAAGAGGCCCAGGGCTCCAGGGCTCCCACCAGGAGGAAGGTCTCTAGTGAGGGGCCACAGGCCTGTTCCCAGTCTTTTTCTGGGCACTATCATGTTGTTGAATGAAGATATGAACTGATCTAATGTGGGCTAAGACCCAAATCCAGAAGTGACTTAGGAAACAGCCAGTATCTAAAGAGATCCTGGCAGGCTGGAGCAACCCACCAGCCTAATCAGACAGAACCAGCAGGTGCTGTGTACCTGTTCCAAGTTCACATCAGGAGATATCTTGTAAAGTCAGCACATGTGGGAAGGCATGGTGGTCATTACTTTCAGGGTGTCAGGGGCATAAAAGTAAATGTGATCCAGGCTGCATGCAAAATTTTCAAGAAGCAGGACAGGTGCAGCGGCTCACACCTGTCATTCCAGCACTTCAGGAGGCCGAGGCAGGCGGATCACTTGAGGCCAGGAGTTTGAGACCAGCCTGGCCAACATGGCAAACCCTGTCTCTACTGAAAATACGAAAAAATTAGCCAGGAATGGTGGTGTACACTTGTAGTCCCAGCTGCTCAGGAGGCTGAGGCAGGAGAATCGCTTGAACCTGAGAGGCGGAGGTTGCAGTGAGCTGAGATCACACCACTGCATTCCAGCCTGAGCAACTAAGCAAGACGCTTGTCTCAAAAAAAGAAAAAAAAATCACAAGAAGCAGGGGTAGGGGCAGGGGTCTTTAATCAAGGAGGTGCTGGTTCCTTATTCCCCAGACAGGATGGGCCCTACCTAAAGTAGGTGGTGAGAACTTGGGGGGGTGGGGCGCCATTTATGAGTGATGGGGACAAATCCCAGCTCAGGGAGGGAGGTTGGTGAGAGGGCTTGAAGCCAGGTCACCAGAAAAATAGCTGTTGGACTTGGGGGCATTTAGTACAAAAAAGAAAAACGTGAAGATGTGATGGTTGTCTGCAGAGGCACAGACCCAGGGGAACATGCCAGGGAGAGTCTGAAGAACTTTCAAAGTCAGAGGTGCTGTTTCGTAGGGGAGGGAGTGGCCTGTTGCTGGAGCTAATCAAGAAGAGGTCAGATAATGACATGTTAGGCACAGGCAGGAGCTGGAGCAGATGGCTGCTGCAGCCTCTTCCATGCTCCATAAAACAGTGGGTTGGACCTGATGACCACTGAGGTCATTTCAGAGCTGAGGCTAAGAACGAGGCAGAGGACAGAAGCTGCTGCTTCAGGACTCTGGGCAGTCCCAGGGCAAGGGAGCACGGGGGACCGCTCAGGGCGGCCTGGGTTGGCAGAGCGCAGAGGGACACCACCAGGTGGTCAGGCTCAGGCCACCTGAACACCTACTCTTGTTGGTGCCCAGAGCTCAGTGGCTAAAAGCACAAAACTGCCATCATCTTGTGCAGCACCTGTCTGTATGGTGATGCCCGTGTGTATTCCTTCTAGACAGTGAGCCTGTTTGGCATGGGTCAGCTTGGAGCAGAGGCAGGTAAAGGCTTGTGTGTGTTCTTTCTAGACGGCCTATATGGCACGGGTCAGCTTGGCGCTGAGGCAGGTCACGCTGTGTCTATTCCTTCTAGACAGTGAGCCTGTGTGGCAGGGGTTAGCTTTGTGCTGAGGAAGGTGATGCCTGTGTCTGTATTCCTTCTAGACGGCCTATGTGGCATGGTCACCTCGGCACAGAGGCAGGTAATGCCCGTGTCTGTATTCCTTCTAGACAGTGGACCTGTGCGCTGAGGCAGGTAGTGCCTGTGTGTATACCTTCTAGATAGTGAGGAAACTGAGACTTCCCTCCCACCAACCCCTTATGGGCCTCCCAGCATTTCCTCCCCAGCCAGCAGTGGGGTGGGGAGGGCAGAGGCCCCAGGTTGGCTCCCCAGGTATGCTCGTTTGGGCCTGGCCCTGTTACAGGATGAGAGAGGGCAGTGTCCTTGGCCCGGCCCACCTGGGGGCTTAGCACAGGCGCCCACAGCCACCTGGCTGCCCACAGCCCTGCTCCAGGAGCTCTGCACCTGCTCTTTCTCCCTGGCAGGCAGTGCAGGGCCCTGGGAGCGAATCCAAGGCCCTGGAGCCAAGTTAAGATGGTTAAGATCTGGCCCCAACCCATGGGTCTCCTCTCCCTTCTTCCCTTTGGGTCCCTTCCAGGCCCTAGGGGGTGGGCAGGCTGTGGGAATATAGAAGGGAATGGGGTGGGGAGGGGGTGGGCCAGAGGGGACTGCAGGGCCGTGTGGTATTCTCATTACCAGCGAGGCAGAGAGGGCCAGCCCAGCCACTGTGGCGGCCTTCACACCTCCTGGCTGCCTGTTGACACAAAGGCCGCCTCCCTCAGGGCAGAAGGTGTTGACTTGGGAACGAGGGTGTGCAGGGGCCTCCAAAACAGCCCAGCACCAGAAGCCCCAAAAAGTGCTTCCAGGGTAGGGGGTGGGAGGCTGCAGGTCCCAGCCTCAGGAGGCCTAGGGTAAGGCTAGGGCGGTTGTCCCTGGGCTGGGGATAGAAGGCGTGTGGGAGGACTCGGGCCTGGACAGACCCCTTGCTTGGGGAGTCAGCGTCCCCTGGCCCCAGGGGCTGGCACATGGGCATAGCCATGGAGCCCTGCCAAGCAGACCACCTCAGTATCACTGGAAGGCCCAGAGACTGACAGCCACTGGGGCAAGGTCATAGAGCAGCCACTGTAACTGGCACTCACCCCAACTGCATGTCAGGCCTTCTGAGTCCTTTCCACAGATGAGCCGAGTCTGTGCCTGCTCAGCTAGCTCTGCTCCAACTCTGTGCCCTGCAGCCTGCAGCTCTCTCCTGGCTCAGCTCAGGAAGGGTACCCAGAGAGGTCACATCACTTGCTGAAGGTTCCCGGACTCCAGCCCACTGGCATCTGGCTTTGAGTCAAAGGCCGTGCACACCAATGTGAACACTGCTTGCTGGGCCTGAGTCCCCAGGAGGACGAGCTACCCACTCGGGAGTGGGAGGAGATGGACCGAAAAGTGGGTGCTATGTCTATTGGTGGCCTGGGTCCAGGGTGCCCATGGAAGGCAGGGAGGTGCTATCTGCCAGGGCCATCAGGGCAGGTTCCGGGGGGAAGAAAAGGGCCTAAGATTGTGGATTTTCTCCAAGTGATGGCGGGTGGGTATTCCTGGCAGAGGGAAAAGTGTGAGCCCAAGGTTGGAAACAGAATCCCAGGGGGAGCTGGCAGCACCCAGGGAGCTGGTGCCCCAGGCTGGTGGGGAGAAGCAGGAGATGATGTGGATAAGCAGGTGGGTGGGGGATGGGGTGGGGAGGTTCTGCTGAGTGAGGCGTTCAGACTCAGGGAGGCAATGAGATCCACAGAAAGTTTGAGGAAAGAAAGAGGTTGGAAGGCAAAGATCCTGAGGTAGGAAACTTCCAGAAGCTGTGCTTCTCTCAAGGCAAGGGCTGACTGCAGCCGGGCAGGGGCCAGGAGTGGGTCCAGCGTCACTGGAGGGAATGTGGAGAAGGGGAAGGACTGGCTGCTGTTGGCTGAGGAAGTAGAGGAGGGGCTGTGGGGGCCATAGGCACAGGGAAGCCAAGAAGGCTGAGCCAAGGAGGCCCCAGGACTACCTGGTCCAGTTCCTAGGATAACAAGGCCCATGGAGGCAGCTCAGGTCTAGGGCTATCAGCTCCCCATCTGAGTCTCAGTCTCATCTATGAAGTGGGTGTCCTTGCTGGGAGGATTAGAAGTTGGGATTCCATGAGTCCTGCCTGCCTGCCTGCCCTGCTGGAGAGGACTACCCAAGGCCCTGCAACTCTTGGGAGGACAAGAGGAAGAATGAGCAGTGCCCATTCCAGGGCACTGGGAAGGAAAACCCAGCCTTCTAGGCCTTGGCTCCAGGCTTGGGCCTATCCACTGGAGTGTTAACAAGCTGGATGATGAGGGGCCGGGGGCGGGCGGTCAAAGTGTTCTCCTTCCCTTCCTTCTCTTTTTCCCTTCCCCCCTTCTTCCCCCCTCCTTTACCCCTTCTTCCCCGCTTCTCTCCACTTCTCCCTTCCCTTCTCCCTCTCCTCCCACTTCCCTTCTTTCTTTTTATTGCCAAAGCAACGTGTGCTCATTACAGAAAAGGGAGAGAATATACACACGCAGAAAGAAGGGAATTTAAAAGGCCTCCAGTTCCATCAACCCAGGGAGAAGCACTCTGGCTGGAGAAGCATTGTGTCTTGGTCTTTTTTAGGCATCTCTACCAGCACAGGAACATAGAGGCATTGAGAGACAGCAGGTTACTTTCTGGGGTTGTTTTTCTGTGTTTTGAAGCTTCTGGCATAATATGTATATACATATATATATATTTTTTTTAACAGCTTTTTTGAGATAGAATTATATACTGTACAATTTGGCTGGGCGTGGTGGCTCATTCCTGTAATCCCAGCACTTTAGGAGGCCAAGGTTTGAGGATCACTTTAGTTCAGGAGTTTGAGACCATTCGAGGCAACATGGCGAGACTTTGTCTCTACAGAAAATGTAAAACTTAGGTGTGGTGATGCACACCTGGTCCCAGCTACTCGGGTGGCTGAGGTGAGTCTGGGAGAGTAAGGCAGCAGTGAGCTGTGATCATGCCACTACACTGCAGCCTGGGCAACAGAGCCAGACCCTGTCTCAATAAATAAAGTGAATAATTCAAGGCTTTTGTATATTAGATTTTAATTATTTAAAATTATAATATTCACCTGAGGTTAGGAGTTCAAAACAAACCTGGTCAACATGGCGAAACCCCATCTCTACTAAAAATAGAAAAAATAACCAGGTGTGGTGGTGCGTGCCTGTAATCCAAGTTACACGGGAGGCTGAGGCAGGAGAATCACATAAACCTGGGAGCAGAGGTGGCAGTGCGCTGAGATCATGCCACTGCACTCCAGCCTGGGCAATAAAAGTGAAATTCCATCTCAAAGAAACAACAAAAAGAAAAGTAGTATCTATAACACAAAGTTGCCATCTCTACCATTTTAACATGTGCAACTCAGTGGCATTAATTGCATTCACAGTGTTGTGCAACTGTGACCACTTCTCTTTTTGAGGTGTTTTTATCACCTTCGGTAGAAACTCTGTGCCTGTTAACCCATGACACTCCATTACTCCCCACTCCATTCCTAGATAACCTCTTATCTGCTTCCTGTCTCTGTGGATTTGCCTGGGCCTGATACCTCATATAAGTGGAATCATGCACTCTCTGTCCTCTGGTGTCTGGCTTCTTTCACTTGCAGAGTGGTGTTCAGGTGCATCCACATCGTCACATACATCGGTACTTCACTCCCTTTTGTGGATGAATGATATTCCATCATATGGATAGACCATATTAGGTTTATCCATTCATCCTTCAATGAACATTTGGTTGTTTCCACCTTTTGACTTCTGTAACTAGAGCTATGCATTGGCGTACAAGTATCTGTTCCAATCCCTGCTTTCACTTCCTCTGCGTGAATGTGTTGTTTTGTGACCAGCTTTTCTCACTGATATATTGAGAACATTTACATACTAGTGGATGTACTTCTGCAACCAGTTTTTTGTTTGTTTCTGTTTTTTGAGACAGAATTTCGTTCTTGTTGCCCAGACTGGAATGCAATGGCATGATCTTGGCTCACTGCAACCTCCGCCTCCTGGGTTCAGGCAATTCTCCGGCCTCAGCCTCCTGAGTAGCTGGGATTACAGGCACGCGCCACCATGCCCAGCTAATTTTTTTGTATTTTTAGTAGAGACGGGGTTTCCCCTTGTTGACCAGGATGGTCTCGATCTCTTGACCTCGTGATCCACCTGCCTCGGCCTCCCAAAGTGCTGGGATTACAGACTTGAGCCACTGTACCCAGCATATTTATTTATTTTTTAAGACTGGTTCTTGCTATTTTGCCCAGGCTGGTCTCGAACTACTGTGCTCAAAGCTGTCCTCCTGCCTCAGCCTCCCAAGTAGCTGGGACTACAGTAATGTGCCACCATGCCCAGCAACAAAAATTATTCAAATTAATTTTTATTTTTGAGACAGGGTCTCAATTTGTCATCCAGTGCAGCCTTGCCCTCCCAGGCTCAAGTGATTCTCCCACCTCACCCTCCCAAGTAGCTGGGACTACAGGTGGACACCACCACACCGGCTAATTGTTTTAAAAATTTTTTTGTAGAGACGAGGTTTCGCCATGTTGCCCAGGCTGAGCTCAAACTCCTGGGTTCAAGCAATCCGTTCACCTCTTCCTCCCAAAGTGCTGGGATTATAGGTGTGCACCATTGTGCCTGGCCAAAACTTATTTTTTAAAATATTTTTATTTATTTATTTTTTTGAGATGGAGTTTCACTCCTGTTGCCCAGGCTGGAGTGCAGTGGTGCCATCTCAGCTCACTGCAACTTCCATCTCCCGGGTTCAAGTGATTCTCCTGCCTCAGCCTCCTGAGTAGCTGGGATTACAGGCACGTGCCACCACACCTGACTAATTTTGTATTTTTAGTAGAGGTGAGGTTTCTCCATGTTGGTTAGGCTGATCTTGAACTCCCGACCTCAGGTGATCCACCCGCCTTGGCCTCCCAAAGTGCTGGGATTACAGGCATGAGGCCACCGCACCTGGCCAACTTTATTTATTTATTTTTTATTTTTGTTTATTTTCTCAGATGGAGTCTCACTCTATTGCCCAGGCTGGAATACAATGGCATGATCTCGGCTTACTGCAACCTCCGCCTCCTGGGTTCAAGCAATTCTCTTGCCTCAGCCTTCTGAGTAGCTGGGATTACAGGCATGCACCACCATGCCCAGCTAATTTTTGTATTTTTAGTAGAGACGGGGTTTCACCATGTTGGCCAGGCTGGTTTCAAATTCCTGACCTCAAGTGATCCACCCTCCTCAGCCTTTGAAAGTGCTGGGATTACAGGAGTGAACCACTGCACCTGGCCTTTTTAATTTTAAATAATTTAAAAAAAGAAAAAAGAAGAAAGAAACCTATAGCACCTGGTATTCCCAGGCTGTCTCCCATCCTAGTACTTAGCTTCTTAGATCAGACAAGTTTGGGCACATTCAGGGTGGTATGGCTGTAGAGCAGAACTTAACTTTTAAATTGTATATGTAATACATGAACGCAGTCTTTTTGTAAAAATTTAAACATCGAAGACAGAATTCAAGCTTGACCAATCCCCAGAACTCAGACCTGCCCCACCCACACTCCAAACGTCCTGGTATGTTCTAGATTTGGTGAGTACCCAAGGCCTCTGTCTGTGTATGTCTACACACATACACGGTAGGCGCTTACAGAATACGTGGTCTTATATGATGACTTTCTGTGTAGGGGCTGTTTTTCAGATTTCATTTTCTTTTGACTGGACTTTTATCAATGGTGCCATACTGAATGAATATTTCTGCACCTTGGCTTTGTCGTTAAGCAGTCTGTCTAAACTTGCACTTGTCATCTTTTCTGGTCAGCATGAATTCCTGTCAGGGGAATGGCTGGGCAGAGGGCATGCTGAGTCTGTTCTGAAGCTTCGGCCCAGTGCTGTTGAGTCCCAGAGGTGGGTGGGTGAGGCTGGCCTGGTTAATGGCAGCCAGCAGCACTGACCACACATCTGGGGCACCTGGGCCAAGGCACCTGGCTGTCCTGGGTGCTCCCAGGGCCTGTGGTGGAGCATCATCTACAAGTGGGGAGAAACTTCCTTGGCTCAGGTCAAGGGCTGGATCGTGGATTTCTCTTGGTGAGGGGCCTTGGGAGCCACGGATAGAGTTCCTCTTATTCTCGGTCTCTGGCACGTTGTCAGTATAGATCTTGTAAGACTCCTCTTTTTATTTCACATTTGGCCAATTTAAGCTCTCTCCCCATTCCCTTCAGTATTATCCAGCCTGTCCAGGGATGCCCCATCCCTGGCCTCTGGCAAAGGACCCTTTACTTACTGGATGCCTTGTCCTCAGCCTCTGGCAAAGGACCCCCGTCCAGTGGTGCCACACTCCCCCAGGTCCTGCCTAGGCATTCTGGTTAGGCCCCAGCAGCCCCACTCTGCTTTTTACTGGGTCTAAAGGTCAGATACCTCGGGGGTATTCCCCTGACTTCAGATGGAGGACCTGGAGCTTGCCGTGGGCGTGAACCAGGCAGCTTGTATGGGGTCCCAGGCAGGTGACCAGGACTGGCCCCACACTCCTCATCCTCTAGCCTGGGGCTGGCTACCCTCCCAGCACCTCACCACTGTTTTGAGGGGAGAGGGGGCACTTAGAAAGGGCCGAAGCCTTCATTTCTGCCTGGATACAGCTCCATCCTGGGCTTTTCTGGAGGGCCTGCGCAGGCTAGATTCTCCCAACTTGGCAGCTGAGCCAGGTCTGCAAATCCTCACCCAGGAGTTGGCAGGAGTTTTGAGTTTCGGTCAACTTGTGGTTTGGCCTCTTTCTACCTCAACTGCACCTGGCTGTGTGTGTGTGTGTGTGTGTGTGTGTTGGGGAGATGGGTTGAGCCCTGCTTGGCTCCTGCCTTCCTGAAATAGTCACCCTTTTCCTCATTCTGCTGGCTCCCATCTTGCTCTGCGTCTCTGCACCCAGATTCGTGCTTTTCCTGGTGGAGAGACAGGCAAACAGGTCCAGAGAGGGCAAACGGCCTGTCTGGGGCCTCAGGGCCCATCACACAGGCACTGAACTGGCCTGCATCTATTTCTTAAGCCAGCCCAGCATCCCTGACACATCTACATAGTTCCCGGCGCACCCCCAACTAGAGCCGAGCCTGGGTTCTGGCCCTAGCCCCAGAAAAACGTCCTTAAAGGCTGGAGGAAGATCTGCCCAGCTCAGATCTAAAGATCCCAGATGGCTGGGCAGCGCCCTCTGCTGGCTATGGCTGGGAGTGCGTGAACGCTGCAAAGCCAGGGGTCAACCCTGTGTCCCAGCGGGGGGCTTCCCACCAAGGCAGGCAGAGTCCCCTAGGACATCTCAGCAGGCAGCTGGGAGCCCCTGCTCCATTTTGCAGGTGGCATTGTGTGACAAGTTTCCCTTCTCCCTTTATACCTGTCTCACTAGAAGGCTCAGACACTGTCCCTCCCCTTGCCCCGGCACGTCCCTGGAGGCAATGAAGGAGCATCAGTGATACATCCCTAAGGAGAGAGGTGCTATCTGCTCACCATCATTGTCAGCCAGCTCTAGACCACTGAGATGTGGCACTTCCTCTTGAACCTTTCCTGGAATCTGCCAAGTCTCTCTCCTTTCTCCTACCCCCTCTCTCCTCGTCACCCCTGGGCTGCCTGCAACTTCCACCGGCTGAGCACCCAGCTGATCTGTAGCCAAGATAATCAGATTATTGTGGATCTAGAATAATCTATTCCATATGGCTTGCCAGCTCAGTGGCTCCAAGAGCTGAAGGTGTGAGGGGAGGGGGTGACCATGCTTGGAAGAGGTTGCTCTAGGAGCTGAGGAGCCTCAGTGGGAGGCTGATAGGAAAGGAGGCACAGGTGGGGGAAGGTGAGCCTGCCTAGCTGAGCCCTCTGACTTCTCTGGGCTCCAGCCCAAGCATGGTCTCCAGGCCTCAACTATCTGAGACCCGCAGGGGCTGGGTGCTCCCCAGGGCCTTTCCCACCTCTGGATGGGGTAGGGTCACCACGGGGCACTGCTGTATAATTTGGGGAGATTTTATTTTTCATTCTCAGGTGGCATCCTCCAGGGATGTGGCCCATCACGTCCAGATGGGGCCTGCAAAGCTCTTTTCTTCTTTTTTTTTGAGATGGAGTTTCACCCTTGTTGCCCAGGCTGGAGTGCAGTGGCACGATCTTGGCTCACTGCAGCCTCTGCCTCCCAGGTTCAAGCATTTTTCCTGCCTCGGCCTCCTGAGTAGCTGGGACTACAGGTACCCTCCACCATGCTCAGCTAATTTTCTATATTTTTAGTAGAGATGGAGTTTCTCCATGTTGGCCAGGATGGTCTCGAACTCCTGGCCTCAGGTGATCCACCTACCTCAGCCTCCCAAAGTGCTGGGATGACAGGCATGAGCCACCGCGCCAGGCTTCTTTTTCTTCTTAGTCTCTGTGATGTGAAGGAAGGCTTAATGGGACTGGAGGGGTCCCCAACTCCTTCACTCTTAGGACCTCCCTCCAGGATGGAAGGAGCCACTTGTCCTCCAAACGAGACAGGAGAGGTGAGGTGGAGGGAGTGGGGGAACAGAACAGAGGCTTCAGCCTCTGACAGACCAGATGGATGCCAGCTCAGCTCCTGCTTACCCTGTTATATGGTACAATCTCTTTGAGCCTCCGTTTCCTCATCTACAAAGTGGGGGCCACGATACCCACATCACAGTGTGCTGAGTGTGGGCAGTGACCCTGCCAAGCTCCAGCTCAGGGCCAGACCCCGGGGGATAGTAGTGTGCACACATGCTCCATGCAGCCTGATCGATCCGCACACGCTGAGCCCAGAAGGCATGAATTACCTTGTGGCACAGCAGCAGACACTGAGGCCAGAGATGGAGAGCGAGGTGCCTGAGTAGCACCGGTAGTGCATGGTGAGGCACAGCCTCGAGCCCACATTGGCCAGACTCCAGAGGGGTGTCCTGGGCTGTCTGAAGGTGGAGGCTACACTGCTAACAATCTCCACCCCCACCTCCCACCCGAGAGAGTTGCTGCAGAGGTGTGCAGGAAGATCCCTGGCTGTGGGGGACACCCAAATTAGGAGCTTCCCAGGAGATGCTGAGCAGGCTGGCAGTGGGAGAGCCGCTTCCTTCTCCTGGGGCCTCTGGCTCCGGCAGGGTTGGGATTTGGGCTGCAAGGGGACTATTTACATAGCACCTCTGATTAGCACTCCTGTGTCAGAGGGGCTGGTTGGGAAATGAGGAGGGACTGAGCAGTGCCCAGGACTCAGGTTTGGTATGGGGAAGTGGGCTAGGTGGAGTGGGGAGGCTGAGGCCTGGGCCTGAGCCTGAGAGGGTGCTACCCTGTCCAGCCTGCCCTCCAGCCTGGCCCCAGCTTGCTCTCTCACCTCTGCTCCTGTGGGGCTGCCCCAAGGCCTCATTTCCCAGCCTTACACGTAGGCAGAGGGTAGGCTCGGGCCAGGGGAGCGGAGGCCACCAGCTCTGGCACTTGTCAAAACACAGGCCCCAGAGGTGTGAAGGCCTTACCCCAGCAGGAGAGCGTGTGGGCCCTACCGCCCGGAGAACTCATTAACTCAGGCAGCCCCCACACAAACCCACTGGAGAGGCTGGCCACAGTCAAGAGATCAAAGGGGAGACAGGGACAAGGAAGAGAGGCTGGCTGGTGGGGGGCGGTGGGGCCTGCGCTTGAGGTTGGGGTGCCTTCCATCCCCCAGCTTGGCTCCGTCAGGCCATTGCCCTTGCACCAGCTGGGTCCCGGGGTGATTTCCCACCAGCAGCAACAGGAGAGGGTGGGACTCCACGTGCTCCTTCCAATTTGTCTGGGGGCTGAAGTCCCCAGGGATGAGGCTGGGGGTAGAACCCTCCCATCTGCCCACCTCTTTCTTGCCATCTTTTTGGGTTATTTTTCTCCACACTAGCCCCTGTGTCTTTCTAACCCTTCCTCAGTGGTGGCACCAGGGATCTTCCTGTCATGGCCACTCCTGCTGTCCCTCTCCTACCCCAGATCTCTCTGTGGGTCCCACATGCTCAACATTAGCTATTAGGTTTCAGATCTGAGAACTTCTAGGGCCTGTGGTTTCAATGTAAAGTGTGCCTCGCACACATATGGTCTCTTGTCCAAATATGTCGCGTTGATTTTGTACCTAATAAAATATAGGCTGGGCATGGTGGCTCATACCTATAATTCCAGCACTTTGAGAGGCTGAGGGGGGAGATTCATGTGAAGCCAGGAGTTTGAAACCAGCCTGGGCAGAAAGTGAGACCCAGACTCTATAAAAATATATTTTTTAGTTAGCCAGGTGTGGTGATGTACACCACCTGCAGTCCCAGCTACTGAGGAAGATGAAGTGGGAGGATTGCCCGATCCCAGGGGGTCGAGGCTGCAGTGAGCTAAGATCACACTGCTGCACTCCAGCCTGGGTGACAGAGCAAGAGCCTGTCTTAAAAAGGAAAGGAAGAAAAATCCCCAAAACCAAATTTGTTTCAAAGCATTGTTGACAACCTGGTAATGGGGCTTTCTTCTGGCACAGGCAATTGGAAGCCCAGAGCAGGATGGTATAGAGATTTGCTCTACCCTCTGCACGTGTTGACTTTGTAACTATGTGTAAAGCAAATGATCTACTTGAAAATACAGATGCGACAAGAAAACAAGAGTTTGTGGTCATTTTAAGTTTGCTCAAGTATTAGCTACAAAATGAAGTAACCATCATGCAAGAAGCAGGCCTTCCCTGGCACTGAGATGCTCAGCAGTCCCTGGACCACGGGGCACTGGGATCCTGCTGAGGTACAGCCCTCCTGCTTTCTGACATTTCTCTTTCTTTCCTTTCCTTCCTTTTTTCTTTTCTTTTTTTTCTTAGAGGGAGTCTCACTCTTGTTGCCCAGGCTGGAGTGCAATGCCATGATCTTGGCTCACTGCAACCTCCACCTTCTGAGTTCAACCATTCTTCTGCTTCAGCCTCCCAAGCAGCTGGGATTACAGGTGCCCACCACCATGCCAAGCGAATTTTTTGTATTTTTAGTAGAGATGGGGGTTCACCATGTTGGCCAGGCTGATCTTGAACTCCTGACCTCAGGTGATCCACCTGCCTTGGCCTCCCAAAATGTTGGGATTACAGGCATGAGCCACCTTGCCCAGCTGCTTTCTGGCCTTTTCTCTGCACCCTCTCCCACCTCAGCACACAGAACACTTCCCCAGTTCCCAACCCTTGGGCCTAGTGGCATCAAAGAGGCTCAGTCACTGGACCCCCATGCCGGGTCCCTGTGTTGGCTCTCGAGCCCAGGAAGGCATCCATCTGCTGCAGTCCAGAAGGAGTAGGGCCTGCTGACAGCTGCAGGTGGAGGGGTCAGGCTGCCCTTGGGTGTAGATGGGTCCTGGGCATATGCACAGGGAGGGAGCTTCTCCCCTTCTCCTCACCCTAAGGGGTTGGCTGGCACAGCTTCTCCTGGATGTGACCCTGGGCATAGGCATTCCAGAGCTTCTGGGACAGACTGCAGAGGAGGCCAAGGGCAGCAGGAGACAGAAGAGACCCCAGGAAGGTGGGGTGGGAGAGATACCCAGGGAAAAGGCACCATGCCACAGGGCCATCATTCTACAACCAGCTCACCCTCAGTCTCGAGAAAAGCAAAGGGAAAGGTGGAGCTGAAGAAAATACTGAAAGAAGGGATGTCACCTGGTGGCTGGATGGAAGAAGGTGACATGGGCATCCCTGCAATTTTATACCTTTAAGAAAGCTGGTATTGGGCCGGGTGCCGTGGCTCACGCCTATGATCCCAGCACTTTGGGAGGCTGAGGTGGGTGGATCACAAGGTCAAGAGATCGAGAACATCCTGGTCAACATGGTGAAACCCTGTCTCTACTAAAAATACAAAAATTCGCTGGGCATGGTGGCGCGTGCCTGTAGTCCCAGTTACTTGGGAGGCTGGGGCAGGAGAATCGCTTGAACCCAGGAGGCGGAGGTTGTGGTGAGCCGAGATCGAGCCATTGCATTCCAGCCTGGGTAACAACAGCGAAACTCCGTCTCAAAAAAAAAAAAAAGCTGATATTGTTGAGAACTAGGAAAGTTAAGCAGAGAGAATGGGTGAGGGGTGAGTGGAGAGGTCAGGAGGAAGGAGGTGGAGCGGGGAGGAGATAATGAGTGCTTTGGTGTACACTAAGCTCATCCAACCCGAGGCCCAGGGTGGCTTTGAATTCGGCCCAACACAAATCTGTAAACTTTCTTAAAACATTATGAGATTTGTTTGCAATTTTTTTTAGCGCGTCAGCTATCGTTAATTTTTTTTTTAGACAGAGTCTTGCTTTGTCACCCAGGCTGGAGTGCAATGGTTCGATCTCAGCTTACTGCAACCTCCACCTCCCTGGTTCAAGCAATTCTGCCGCAGCCTCCTGAGTAGCTGGGACTACTGGCATGCATCACCATGCCTGGCTAATTTTTTGTATTTTTAGTAGAGACAGAGTTTCATCATGTTGGCCAGGCTGGTTTCAAACTTCTGACCTCAAGTGATCCACCTGCCTAGGCTTCCCAAAGTGCTGGGATTACAGGTGTGAGCCACTGTTTGTGGTCTAATTAGCATATTTTGCATGTGACCCAAGGAAAGTATTTTTCTTTCAGTGTGACCCAGGGGAGCCAAAAGACTGGACACCCCTGGTGTAGAACACAACTGAAGTGGTGGCAGGATCACCTAAGCCTGGGAGGCAGAGGTTGCAGTGAGCCAAGATCGTGCCACAGCATTCCAGCCTGGGTGACAGAGCCAGACCCTGTCTCAAAATAAATAAATAAAATCAGACGTCTGGCACTGAAAGAAACCATTTTGCTTGAAAACAGGTAAAGATATGATGCCAGACACCAGGTACTTCACAGTCTAGCTGGAGAGCAGATAGCCATGCATGAAGTACCTATTAAGACTGGGGTGCAAATCAAACCCCCGAGGGGCCTGGTGAAATTTTCCCTAGGCTGTAGTGCAGTGATGCAATCTCTGCTCACTGTCACTTCCGCCTCCTGGGTTCAAGAGATTCCCTTGCCTCAGCCTCTGGAATAGCTGGGATTGCAGGGGCCTGCCACCATGCCCAGCTAATTTTTGTATTTTTAGTAGAGATGAGGTTTCACCATGTTGGCCAGGCTGCTCTCAAACTCCTGACCTCAAGTGATCCGCCTGCCTCTGCCTCCCAAGTGCTGGGATTACAGGTGTCAGCCACTGCACCTGGCCCTTTTCTAGTATTCTTCAACAACTCTTTCCTGGATGGGAATTCATGAGCTCTAGCACTTGAGATTTTCATCTGTAAATTTTAGGATTTTCTTATCTACCATATTCAGCACCCACCCTGGAGCAAACCCAAAGAAAATCTGCCTTGGATCCTTCTGAATACAGAACATATGAAGGGTTCTTCTTTAGTGATATCCGGCAAATTAGAACTGTCCTTCCTGGCAAGTTCTAGTTAGCTTCAGGAAATTTGGCAGGATCTGCCGGGTTCCCACAATTCTTTGCATTTGTGGAATATGGTATCAGTCCTTCAGATGGAAGCATTCTTTTTGAAATGGGTTGTCCCCAAAAAGAATGGAACGAGTTTGGATAGAATTTCTTTCTTTCCTTTTTTTTTTGAGACGGAGTATCGCTGTTGTTGCCTAGACTGGAGTGCAATGGCGCGATCTCGGCTCACCGCAACCTCTGCCTTCTGGGTTCAAGCAATTCTCCTGCCTCAGCCTCCCAAGTAGCTGGGACTACAGGCGCGCACCACCATGCCCAGCTAATTTTTGTATTTTTAGTAGAGACGGAGTTTCACCATGTTGACCAGGATGGTCTCCATCTCTTGACCTCGTGATCCACCCGCCTCAGCCTCCCAAAGTGCTGGGATTATAGGCGTGAGCCACCATGCCCAGCCAATATTAACTTTTTTTTTTTGAGACGCAGTCTCACTCTGTCACCAGGCTGGAGGGCAGTGGTGAGATCTTGGCTCACTGCAACCTCTGCCTCCTGGGTTCAAGTGATTCTCTTGCCTCAGCCTCCTGAGTAGCTGGGACTACACCACGCCCAGCTAATTTTTGTATTTTTAGTAGAGATGGGATTTCACCATGTTGGCCAGAATGGTCTTGATCTTCTGACCTCATGATCTGCCTGTCTCAGCCTCCTAAAATTCTGGGATTAAAGGTGTCAGCAACCTTCTGGACCAGCTGAACACCAAAATCCTCTTTAAGTGGCTGAATGGCCACACCTTTTCCATTGATAAGCTGGGTTAAGTCAACAGGTTAAGTAGGATCAACATGGCCCAAATCAGTAAGATATTGCAATCTATTGAGACTTAAAGGCTCTGAAGCTAGCTCCTTCATTAAATCTGTACTTTGGGATTCTGATGTAAAATAGAGTCTGGGCTATCTCAAAGCCCAGGGAGCGTTTCCTCTCTGCCTTTCTCCTTTATGGCCTCTGCCACATTTTCACCTCTTCTTCGACCTTTTGGTCGCCTTGTGGGTTTCCTGGAGCCAGGATTCGGCTTTAAGCTGGTCAGCCTCACGCGCAGCAGGGCCCAGAGCTGCCATAACCTGCGAAAGAGTTTTATTTCTTCCTTTCTGACCTGTATGTCTTTTATTTGTTTTCTAATTGCACACCCTTGCCTTTTTCCTGATATGGGGCAAGGGCAGGGTGGGGGAAGCTTTCAGTCTTTCACTACTCAATACGAGGCTACCTGTAGTTCTTTGTAGGTGCCTTTCATCAGGTTGATGAAATTCCTCTCTAGTAGTTTGCTGAGAATTTTTATTATGAAGGGTGTTGGATTTTGTCAAACGCCTTTGCTGCATCATATCTACTCATATTTCACTGGGAAAACCTGTTATACCTGTCTCAAAATGGCAGAACATCTGGTAAAGCCTAGTGGTGACAGCTGTGGCAAGAGGCTGAGCCCCAGACCCTGACAGGCTAAGGTGTCCTGGGGTTGGAGAAGCAGGCTCGCCCGTCCCTCTGCTCAGAAGGTCCAGCAGCCTGACCAGATTCCGCAGCTTGCTGGGTTTTCCGGGGACTGCTTCCCTGCACGGTCCACACACCTGTCCCAATGTCCTCACCAGGGAAGGGTCTACCCAGGGCCAGCCTGCCTCAAAGAAGAAGTGGTTTACTGTTTTTCCCGCTTTTAGAGGGAATGAGGCCCCTGCTCCTGGTCCTTACTGTAGTCCACTGTCCAGCTGGCGCATGCCCTGAGGCTCCCATTATACAAATTGGAAGCTAAAGTGCAAAAGAACTAAGAATTTGCATAAGGTTCCCAACAGGCGAAGAAGGACTCCAAACGTAGGAAGTAGAGTTCGTTTTTCTGATCCAGCTTCCTTTAACCTGCAGGGCTGCCCCAGAGCCCCGGGCTTCACCCAGCACTGGGTGCAGGCGGGAAGCCTGAGAGGCTGATTCGGGCGCCCAAGCGAGGGCCCAGTTGAGTGAAACGGGAGCACCAAGGGGCTGGCACCTTGGCCCCCCGTGGATTCAAAGGGTCGGGCTCCGCCCCCTCCCGGCCCCGAGTCCGCTTTGATGTGCTGATGCGGCCTGGAAGGGGCCACTTCACACCTCTGGCGCGGCATATAGCGGTCGCCAGTCCCTGGCCGGCAGACCCGTCGCCCCCGCTATGGCCCAGCCGCTGTGCCCGCCGCTCTCTGAGTCCTGGATGCTCTCCGTGGCCTGGGGCCCCGCTCGGCCGCCGCCGTCCTCCGAAAGGGACTGCTCCGCTCCCTCGTCCCCAGACTTGTGGGGCAGCCCCGTGCCAAGCCCCGCGCCACCCGGCGCCCGCCCGGACCCCGGCGCCGGGACAATGGGGAGACGCAGCACGCGCAGCAGTCGCCTGGGTAGCGGACAGCGGCAGAGCGCCAGCGAAAGGGAGAAACTGCGCATGCGCACGCTGGCCCGCGCCCTGCACGAGCTGCGCCGCTTCCTGCCGCCGTCCGTGGCGCCCGCCGGCCAGAGCCTGACCAAGATCGAGACGCTGCGCCTGGCCATCCGCTACATCGGCCACCTGTCGGCCGTGCTGGGCCTCAGTGAAGAGAGTCTGCAGCGCCGACGCCCGCAGCGCGGGGACGCGGTGTCCCCTCGGGGTTGCCCGCTATGTCTCGACGGCGGCCCCGCGCAGTCTCAGACCGAAACCGAGGGGTGGGAGCCCGGGCCGGGGCCGGGGCCGGGGCCGGGGCAGGGGCGCGGGCTGGGCCTGGGCTCCGCCGTCTGCGCCGGGGCGTCCTGGGGATCCCTGCCCGCCTGCCCCGGAGCCCGACACGCGCCGGAGCTGCGCGACCCGCCTGCGCTCTTCGCCGATGCGACGTGCCCGGAAGGGCAGGCGATGGAGCCGAGCCCGCCGTCCGCCGTTAGTGCCTTCCCCTTCCCCCCGCGCACAGCCCCACCGCCCGCCACTGCCAGGACCGGGCACCGTAGCGCTCCCTGCCCGCAGCTTGGTATCTATAGTATGCCCAGGGCGCCAAGAGGGAGGGCAGGAGAGGCCACGCAGGGGACTGGGTCTACCCTCGCCGGGGGACTGCTAGAGTGGAGCCCATGAGCGCGGACACGCTCACGAGGCCACCGGTGATGAGGCTTGCGCTGTCCCCTTTCTCCCTGCAGCTCCTTCCCGCCGACGTGCTGGCCCTGCTGGAGACCTGGATGCCCCTCTCGCCTTGGAGTGGCTGCCGGCCTGAGGAGCCCAATGACAGCGGACAACTGACGCCCTCTCTGTGAGCACCGAGGCCGTTGTGGCCTCAGCACCTTCGAGGTGGTTCCTCTGCCAACTGCCTTTTCTGGAAGGGGGCACCGCGATTCCAGCAGGGGCATTGCTGCGGGTGAGAGCCGTCCCCACTGTGCCGGCTCTTCCCAGCGCCCCTATCCCTGGAGGGACCCGTAGGGTTAGAGGCTTTGAGGCAATCAGGAAGCTCTGCCTGATGTGAATTTATTTATTTGTGAATAAACTGTGCTGATGTCAGTTGGCCATTTCTTCTTCCTCCCCGTGGACACAGCTCCTCTCCAAAGAAGAGCATGGGAGAGTTGGGAGGGGTTCTTGCAATCTTTAGCCCCCCCCCACTCCCCGCCATTCCCGGAGGCCCTTTGGCCTTGCCCCCAGCCCTGGCGCAGCCTCTCCTAGTCCAGATGGGTCAGCCTGGAAGGGGTGGGGAGGGGCGACCTAGGAGAAGGCGGTGTTAAGTAGAATCTGCTCATCATTTCTTTGAACTTGGTGGGGAACTGGTTAAAACCAAAATATCTCTGTAGAAATACAACTCTCTTATTATTTATTGTATGTACATCAGGTACCTAACACATGTCATACTCGACCGTTTTACAGAAGGATGAGGGTCAACACTCAAGCCCACATAGGCTCCAGAGTCCCAGCTCTCAGCTCTGGTATGATTTTGCCAGCTCCATTCATATTGGGGCCTGAGGGACAGCAGCTCCAAGGGGTCACTTTCTTGCATCCTGGGGCCTTATTCTCCATGCACTGGAGCAGCCTGGCCTTGAATGCCCCCTCCTCCTCCCCTGAATTTTCCTATCCCTTTTCTCTGGTTTTCCCCCCTTGTAGCTTAGGGACATACATAACGGTGTGGCCGTCCTGAGTTTATATAACCACGACCTCCTAGAGGCCTAGCTGGGGTGAGATGAGGGGCTCATGGGTTGCATCAGAATCCGCACAGGCAGTTGCACTCCTGTCCTTTGCTGGATTCATATCAGGGAGCAGGAGAGGGAGCCAGGCATGGTACCGAGAGCCTGTTATCCCAGCTACTTTCGAGGTGGCGGCGGGAGAATCGTTTGAACTCAGGAGGCGGAGGTTGCACTCCAGCCTGGGCAACAAGAGAGAAACTCTGTCTCAAAAAAATAAATAAAAAAGGAGAGGGGAGCCTTGAGCCCAGGAAGCCTGTCCTCATCCAGCCCAGGGTGTTGGGAACCCTCACGCTTGGAGGGTGTGTGGGGAGACGGGATGTAGCCTCTCTGGATACCCAGTTCTCCCCTCCTCTCCTTCAAATGTCTGGAACACAGGCCTTAGTGTTTGCCTTTATAAGAGCTTTGAGATAAAATTCTCATGCCATAAAATTCACTCTTAACGATTGAATGGTTTTAGTATATCCACAGAGGTGTGCAATCATTGCCCCTAATTTTAGAACATTTTCAGCCCCTCCTAAAGAAGCCAGGTACCTGTTAGCATCACTCCCCACGATTCTCCTAGCCCCTGCCACTCATTCATCTAGTGTCTGTCTTTATAGATTTACTTTTTCAGGACATTTCACATAAGAGGAATCGCAAAATCTGGCCTTTTGTGTCTGGCTTCTGCGGCTGAGCACAGTGTTTTGAAGGCTTATCATGCCTCCTGTGTCAGAATTTCATTTCTTTTTTCTTTTTTTTGAGACGGAGTTTTTGCTCCTGTCTCCCAGGCTGGAGTGCAGTGGTGTGATCTCGGCTCACTGCAACCTCTGCCTCCCAGGTTCAAGCGATTCTCCTGCTTCAGCCTCCTGAGTAGCTGGGATTACAGGCGCCCGCCACCACGCCCAGCTAATTTTTGTATTATTAGTAGAGACAGTGTTTCATCATGTTGGCCAGGCTGGTCTCGAACTCCTGACTTCAGGTGATCCACCGCCTCAGCCTCCCAAAGTACTGGGATCACAGGCGCTTGCCACGAGGCACAGCAGACCTTCATTTCTTTTTATTGCCCAGTACTCTTCCATTGTTGGCTACATCTCTGTTGGTTTATGGGTGCATCCGCTGATACTGGTGAGCTCGTTTTTCAGCGCTTCAGAGGTCACTTCCGGGACTCTGGCCCAGGCCAGGAGGGGCAGTCAAGCAGAGTGTGATCGGATCCCAGATCTGGAGTTCAGGGATCCAGGCCAGGCAGGGCACACCTTCACTGGGGCTTGGCCACAGAGAGTGGACTGCAAAAGCCAGGCCCGCAGCGGGGTGGGACCTCACACCTTCGCCTCTCCTGCTCTCTGGCCCATCTCTCACTTCCCTCCCGGGACCCTAACTGGGCAGCGGGAAGTTTTCTGGAGCCTACCCAGTTTAGAAGATCTATTTGCATGGCAAAGGCCCTGCGTTTTAGGATGGGGAATTAAAGTTATTAGCAAGTCTTTTCACTGATAAGTGGGGCTCATTGGCCAGCCCCTTTCCCTGCGGAGGGCTTCTCCTCCGGCTCCGCGCCTGGGAGGGGCCCGCTGTTTATTAGCACCCAGGTGTGAATTTTCATTAACAAGGTCCCGCTAATAGCTGCCCAGACTTAGGATTGGAGATAAGAAGGGGCGCCTCCCACAGCTCCAGCGTCCCCATCCCCCATCCCGGCCAGCCCCTTCCGCACCTGGAGGAAACCCTGTGCGCGTTCACATAGCCGACTACAGTAGCCAGCGTCCAGGTAGGCACCCCATGCCGCGTGGTAGGGGAGCCTCTCCCGCCTCAGTTCTCAGCCCAGCTGCGAGGTAAGCCCGGCTACGGGCCATTAAGAACAGGAGAGTTGAGAAAAAGGCTGCAGGTGGTGGGCGGCAGCGTTTTCCAGACCTGTGTGCATTATCACCGGTGTGCTGCCCTCGTTACAGCTGAACACCAGCTTGTCACAAGAACAGAGGGTACTGGGGGTACCTCACCTCCCCCAAGGCTCAGGCAGGGTGCCAGTATGGAGCGGTCTGGGCCAGGCCCTGCGTGCCGTGGAGGGGTAGTGAGAAGGACCGCACGACACGGGGACCCCCCTCTGAGGCCAGATAGCTGCCCTCTGGTCCCCGCTGGTCCCCAGCCGCCCTCCTGTTCTGGGGAGCTGCTGTCGCAGGGCCACCTGGCGAGAAGCCAGCGCAGGGAAACGCACATTTCCCGAGCAGCGACCCTTGGCCAGGCTGTGTGCTTATTGCCTGAAATGCGCCATCTAATTTCAAGTGTTGTGGCTTAGGGTGGGTTTTCACTCTCCCTGTTTTACACACAGAAGGTGAAGCGCAGGGAGTTGGTATGCAGCCCCCAGGGACGGGGTCAACTACGGATGAAGCCTGTCTTTGCAAGAGCCCTGGCAGCAAGGTAAGTGTGTGTGTGTGTGTGTGTGTGTGTGTGTGTCTGTGGTGGGGGGCGCGGCTGTGTGTGTAAAATAACGTTCCTAACGCATGTTGGCTACCACTGTCATGGTTAGCAGGGAACCAGCTTCTGCTTGTGGACCACACATGTCACTCCACACTGAGACAGGGATGTGTGGCTGCAGTGTGGATGCTGGGTGGAGGTGTGGATGTGTGGATGCTGTGTGGAGGTGTGGAGGTGTGAATGCTGTGTGGAGGTATGGATGTGTGGATGCTGTGTGGAGGTGTGGATGTGTGGGTGTTGTGTAGATGTATGGATGTGTGGATGTGTGGATGCTGTGTGGAGGTGTGGATGCTGTGTGGATGTGTGGAGGTGTGGATGTGTGGATGCTGTGTGGAGGTGTGGATGCTGTGTGGAGGTGTGGATGTGTGGGTGCTGTGTAGATGTATGGATGTGGATGCTGTGTGGAGGTGTGGATGCTGTGTGGAGGTGTGGATGTGTGGGTGCTGTGTGGATGTGTGGGTGCTGTGTAGATGTATGGATGTGTGGATGCTGTGTGGAGGTGTGGATGTGTGGATGCTGTGTGGAGGTGTGGATGCTGTGTGGAGGTGTGGATGTGTGGGTGCTGGGTAGATGTATGGATGTGTGGATGCTGTGTGAAGGTGTGGAGGTGTGGATGCTGTGTGAAGGTATGGATGTGTGGATGCTGTGTGGAGGTGTGGATGCTGTGTAGAGGTGTGGATGTGTGGGTGCTGTGTAGATGTATGGATGTGTGGATGTGTGGATGCTGTGTGAAGGTGTGGAGGTGTGGATGCTGTGTGAAGGTGTGGAGGTGTGGATGTTGTGTGGAGGTATGGATGTGTGGATGCTGTGTGGAGGTGTGGATGCGTGGGTGCTGTGTAAATGTATGGATGTGTGGATGTGTGGATGCTGTGTGGAGGTGTGGAGGTGTGGATGCTGTGTGGATGTGTGGGTGCTGTTTAGATGTATGGATGTGTGGATGTGTGGATGCTGTGTGGAGGTGTGGATGTGTGGGTGCTGTGTGGAGGTATGGATGCTGTGTGGAGGTGTGGATGCTGTGTGGATGCTGTGTGGAGGTATGGATGTGTGGATGTTGTGTGGAGGTGTGGATGTGTCGGTGCTGTGTAGATGTATGGATGTGTGGATGCTGTGTGGATGTGTGGATGCTGTGTGGATGTGTGGATGCTGTGTGGAGGTGTGGATTCTGTGTGGATGTGTGGATGCTGTGTGGAAGTGTGAATATCTGGATGCTATGTGGAGGTGTGGATGTGTGGGTGCTGTGTAGATGTATGGATGTGTGGGTGTGTGGATGCTGTGTGGAGGTGTGGAGGTGTGGATGCTGTGTGGAGGTATGGATGTGTGGATGCTATGTGGAGGTGTGGATGTGTGGGTGCTGTGTAGATGTATGGATGTGTGGATGTGTGGATGCTGTGTGAAGGTGTGGATGCTGTGTGGAAGTGTGGAAGTGTGAATGTGTGGATGCTGTGTGAAGGTGTGGATGCTGTGTGGATGTGTGGATGTGTGGAGGTGTGAATGTGTGGATGCTGTGTGAAGGTGTGGATGTTGTGCCGATATGTGGATGCTGTGTGGATGTGGAATGCTGTGTGGATGTGGATGTCTGTATGCTGTGCGCATGGATGGGTGTGTGGAGGTGTGGATACTGTGTGGAGGTGTGGATGTGTGGAGGTGTGGATGCTATGTGGATGTGGATATGTGCACACTGTGCATGGATGGGTGTGGAGGTGTGGATGTTGTGTAGAGGTGTGGATGCTGTGTGGATGTGGATGTGTGTACACTGTGCGCATGGATGGGTGTGGAGGTGTGGATGTGTGGAGGTGTGGATGCTGTGTGGATGTGGATGTGTGTACACTGTGCACATGGATGGGTGTGGATGTGTGGATACTGTGGAGGTGTGGATGCTGTGTGGATGTG